AATACATTTGACTAGGAGCACTTGGCTAGCTCGGTCAGTAGAGCATGCGACTCTTAATCTTAGAGTCATGAGTACAAGTACCCCCGGCTGTAAGAGACTACTTAAATCATTAAAAAATATATTTGACTTTAAAATTAAGAACGTTAAGTCCTAAAGACACTATATTTATTTATTTTTTAAGATTTTATTTATTCATGAGCGAGAGAGGGAGAGAGAGAGGCAGAGGGAGAAGCAGGATTCACGCTGAGCAGGGAGCCCAATATAGGACTCAATCCCAGGATCCTGGGATCATGACCTGAGCTGAAGGCAGATGCCACCCAGAAGCCCAAACACACCATATGTAAAATGGAAAGACAGTTACAGACTAGAAGATATTTGTAAAGGCTACCAAGCACTGTTATCCAGAATACATAAAAAGCATTTACAAATAAGTAAGATAAACAATCCCATTAAAGGAAAAACAACAAATAAGCAATTCACAGAAAAGGAACATGAACGCACCCCAAAATACAAGTGCTCTCAACTACAGGACTAACTGGGGCCATGCAAATGAAAATTCCAATGAGGTACCATCCTTCACATACTCCTCAGCATGGCAAACCATGAGAAGTCTAATAAAGTATTTGAAAGGTGGGAAAATAGATCCCCTCATCCATTACTGATAGAAACACTTGAGAGAAAACTGGTGGTTATCCAATAAAGTTAAAGAAGCTGCTCATACATACCCTTTGTTCTAGCACTCTTTAGATTTCCCAGGGAAATCTCAATGATGGCTCTTTAGTTGTTTAACAAATGGGGGCACTACTGAACAGCTTCCAGGGACGCCAGGCACTCTTGGGAGCATGCAAACAATAATGCTGCCCCATGTCTCCTCTCAGGACTTTTCAATATTCTGCTGACTGCTCATTTAAGGGATTGAGAAGGGGATGGGGGAAATAAGGTCAGATATTTATAAAGAGGACTTAACACAGAGTATATTTATATTGCCTTAATATAGATGATTTTAAAAAAGGCAACCACTATGTAAAGAAAGAAGACTGCCATTTTTTGGTCCAAACTTTACTGAAAATAGTTTGTTATTTCAGAAATTCATTTATCAACAACAGTGCCACCATCAGTATTTGAACAGCCAATTCAACACACCTGTTTTAATTTGCATCAGTAGGGGTGCCTGGGGGTAGCTCAATCAATTTTTAAGCGCCTGCCTTTGGCTTAGGCCATGATCTCAGGGTACTGGGACAGAGCCCCAAGTCAGGTTCACTGCTCAGAAGAAAGTCTGCTTCTCCCACTCCCCTCAACTCCTGTGCATGCAGTCTCGAATGAATAAAATCTAAACAAATAGTAATAATAATTTGCATCAGTAGTTTACCCTATTCATGGTGATACTAAACATTGGTATAAAAGTATCTGACTACTGGGGCACCTGGGTGGCTTAGTGGGTTAAGCCTCTGCCTTTGGCTCAGGTCATGATCTCAGGGTCCTGGGATCAAGCCCCGCATGGGGCTCTCTGCCTGCTTCCCCCTCTCTCTCTGCCTGCCCCTCTGCCTACTTGTGATCTCTCTCTGCCAAATTAAAAAAAAAAAAAAAAAAGTATCTGACTACTGTTTCTTCCAGCAGTGCTTTCTGGATTTTTATGTGCGCACACATCACCTGGGAGTCTTGTTAAAATTCAGCATGAGTCAGTAGGGTAGGTCCTGAGGTTCTGATTTCTAACAAGCTCCCAGAATTCTGCGTTTACTAGTCTACTATCACACTTCGTAGCAAGATTAGAGTGTGGTTTGGTATGAGCATCTACACAGTGAAATACATTATTCTGTTACAAATTCTTACATTTTAGTAAGAGCATTACTTTAAAATATAATGTAAATTTATTTAAGTTTTAATTTCATTATAAATTTGTAAGTTCATTAAGTTTCAAATGAATGCAAGCTGATTATTTTGAATTTCATTTTAGGGCAGAATTGGAGAAGTTATAAAATGTTTCTATAAAAATGGGATATAGTCTCAAGAACCACTGCCCTAGAGGAAGTCTTGCACATGTACCTAAATAAACATATACAAGAATATTCCCCACAGTGTTTAATAAGCAATTGGAAAAAACTAAAATGATAAGAGAAATCTGATAGTCACATAATGGAACACATACCATTATCGCAGTAAAAATAAACTAGAATTACCCGAATAAACATAGATAAATCTAGAAAGCAGGCTACAAATATGTATTTAAATAGTCTTAAAAATAATAGTCTTAAAATAATCGAAGAAAAACTATATAATGATCAAGGACATAAAGGCATGTAGTTAAGTATAAACACATGGATAGGAAGGATGCATTCTAATTTCCGGTTAGTGGCTGGAGGATGGAGGAAGAGGAAGTAGGATTTAAGAAGGGTTTTTGAAGTACAAAGGAAGCTTCATTTTGTTTTGTCTTTTTATCTCTCCAACTGAGTAATGGGTGCATGAATATTCATTATATCGTATGTTGCCAATACTCATATTGCTGTATTTCTATTTCATTTGAATTGGCAAAAACTGTTGGGTCCCAACAGCTGGTTGGAAAACACTGCTCTGAAGCAAAGGATTCAGGACTCTTAAGTCAGAAAACCCGTATTCTGTTTCTTTTCTTTTTTTTTTTTTTAAGATTTTATTTATTTATTTGACAGAGAGAAATCACAAGTAAGCAGAGAGGCAGGCAGAGAGAGAGGAGGAAGCAGGCTCCCCGCCGAGCAGAAAGCCCGATGTGGGGCTCGAACCCAGGACCTGGGATCATGACCTGAGCTGAAGGCAGCGGCTTAACCCACTGAGCCACCCAGGCGCCCCGCGTATTCTGTTTCTTACAAATTATGTAGCTTTGAGCAATTCAAAGAATTAACTTCTCTGGGCTTTATTTTATCTGTAAAAATGTCACAAATAACATCATTTTTCCTCCCCAACTCACAAAGATAGGTATGAGAGGCATAAATAGGGATATATATATATATACATATACATATATATATGTATATGTATATATATATATATATATATGTTTTTTAACAGATAGGAAAGGAAGAATTTTTGAGAATTAAAAAAAACCTTGGATATACTAGAAATAATATCTACAAGTAAACCAAACAAGCCAATTCGTCACTCTATTTTCTCAACATCACTGATTCTAAGAATATTAACATGAATCTTAACATGAAAGAAATTCTGAGTTATCAATTCTTAGAGGATGGCACATAGGATAGGCATTCTCCCTACTGTAACTGTATTTCTTTAGGCTAATTCTTCATCAAGGAATTGAAATTCATAATACCAAAATAAGAGAACTGCACTGAAAAGCACTCTTTAACTTATCAAAAACATTATTCTGCCATGATGTTTTAAGATAATCTGGTCACAGGAAATAGAAATTCTTTGTCAGGTATCATTTCATACATATTTCAAAATGGGCAAAGATACTCAAAGAAACAAGCCACTTACTAACTACAGTCCGGCACAGCAGGGGACAAAATTAAAACTGCCTAGCCTGCTAAAAATCTAATCCTATCCTTCCCAATTAACCTTATTACTACTAGAGTAGGAGAAAAGAGAGGTCAAAATATGGGTGAGGGTGCTATTTATTTCCTCACAGACCTCAAATAATAAAACAATTACTGCACAACAGGGATTTTATTTCTTTTGTAAATTGAATCATGGCTATCTCCCCCACCACCTTTACTCTCACAAAAAAAATTAACCGAAGAGTTGGGCAGTCCCAAGTAAGAACACTGGTAATCACGATTATTAAAATATTGGTTATGATTAGATACTAGGTATGTTACACGAATGAGTTTATGCCATCAACATATGAAGAGACAAACTACGGAGAAAAGTTCATTTTTAAGTTTTCCTGTTCAAATGTAAACAGAGACACATTAGGCCGTTCCAAATGCTGACACAAGATCTCCAAAATTCTTTTCATTTATTGGAGTCTTAAAAAAAAAAAATCAATGAATCACCTTGCGGATGAAGTATTATATGCATAGACATTACGAAATATATTAAACAGAAAACACCTTTCCATAATGAGCCAAAATTTAAAGATCACCCCTTTACTCCGTTATTTATCTTTTTGCTTATCAAGCCCACCTCACGTAAACTTGCATCTCCCCAAACCCCCCAAAACCTGTATTCTGGCATTGGCAGAATTTCCCCAAGGATCAAAGCTCTGAACTTTTTTTTTTTTTTAAACAAAAAGCCGGGTTAAACTCACTTTTCTTTGCGGCGGCGGGGCGCGGGGGGGGAGCCCTCCACAACCTACCCTCAAACTCGACAGAACTTTCGTTTCAGAGTTAAAAAAAAAAAAAAAAAAATTCCAAACAGAGCCTCTCCTTTTCCAGCTCAAAAGCAGTTACTGAGGAGCCCAATCTAGGGTTCGAAAACAGAGTTCGAAACTGGTTAAGATTCAAGCTGAGCCGCCCAGAGAAAAAGAACCCGAAGACGGCCCGCCGGGAACACAAATCGCCGAGAACGGGGCCGATTCGATCTCAGATCGAGGCTGGCACACACGAGGACATTCAGGAGAAGCCTTTCGGGCATCGCCAGCCTCACGGGGAGCCAGGGAGCAGGATGTGAAGCTGACCCCATCTTTCTGTCCGCGGGGAGCGGAGCAAAACAAGTGAACCGAGACCCTTCTCCGCAAGGAGGACCTAAGATCTTTTTCCCAGTCCGGCTTTAGGTCTCTCTCCCGCCCCCAGACTCCCGCAGCCTCCCGGCTCGCAGGGACTCTCCTACCTCTCCTACCTCTCCCCTCCACGGAACCACCAGCGAAGCCTCTCAAAACCAGACCCGATCCGAGGCGGCTTCCCCGCCTTTGGCCGCCGCCGAGAGGGATCCCGGTAGCCAACAACAAAGACGCCTCCCGTTCCCCTCCCCCCGCCCGGCCCGGGTTCGTCCCTCCCGCGCTGCGGCTCCGGGCCTAGCGCCCCCTCCCCGAGCCCGGCCGCAGTGCCCGGCCCGCCGCGGCCCCCACGCACCTGCACCTGAGGGGCCGCGGCCAAGGTGTCGGGAAGAAAGGGCCGGGAGAGAGCCTCTGCCGACGCGCTGTCCTCCACAAGGTGCGACCCACGTTGCTGCCGCCGCCGCCACCGGACTCTCCCGGCCTGCGGGCGGGCGCGGCCGAGGAGGGGGGACGAGGGCTGCAGCCCCCGGCGCCGGGACGAGGAAGGACGGCGGCGCCCGAGGGGGCCGGCTCGCGCTCTGGAGTCTCGCCTCGCGCCGGCCCTGCTCCTCCACACGGGCTCGCGTTCTGCTGACTAACGGCCCCGGCGCGAGGCTCTGGAGCGGCCGTCGCCGTCGGCGGCTCTCGGGCCTCACGTCCCGCGCGGCCGTGGTCGCAGCCGCCGCCGCCACCTCCCTTTCTGGCACTGCAGACACCAGCCAAACCCAGCCAGGTCTTTCTTCTCTTTAATTCTCCTTTCTTTGCTCCTCCTCAGCCTGCCACCGTGAGGCTAGCTTTGGTGGCGGGAGAAAGGCTGGAAGGGAACCGAGGGGACGAGCAGAAGGCTCGCTGAAGCAGGAGTTGGTCACTGACTGGAGGAAGATGCCAAGCTGACCCGGGTTCCAGCCTGCGAGCGGGCCGGGGGAGGGACGCAGCACAGCTTAGCCGGACTTCAACCAATCACAAGCCGCCCAGCGGAGTCGGGCGCCGGGAGAGGCTGAGCTGGGTCGGCAGGAGGCGGGGATTGCGGAAAAGGAGAGCCAATAAAGGCAAAGGTTCCTTGCCTCTCCGCCTTGATGGACTGCCACGTTCGGACCAATGGGGGAATTCTCGCTTCGCAGGAAGCGGGATTTAGACGCCGGGTTTGAAAGAGGTTGCGCGGAGGGGGATGGGTCGAGACTGGGCCGCGTGGAAGAACCTTGAGGGTTTTGACAGATGAGAGGGAGTCTTTTGACCTCCTCGATGAGTCACGTGGGCTGATGGGGGCGGGGGCGGAAAGACTGGATAAGTTCCTTCCGGGTCAGTGACAGAAGCGTGGTCTCCGTGGGGCAGTTCCTGGCGTCTTCGTCTTCCCCGCGTCCTCCCTGTACCGGCGCGAGGTGATTGTGGTTTCCACGATGAGCTCCCAGAAAGGGAACGTGGCTCGTTCCAGGCCTCAGAGGCACCAGAATACCTTTAGCTTCAAAAATGACAAGTTTGATAAGAGTGTTCAGACCAAGGTAGGAACCTGCCTGTTGCACCAAATCTGACTCTAGGAAGGAATGGTTCGGTGAAGGGGAGAGAGGAAATGAGGAGTTGGGAGGGAGCGATTATGGACCGCAGCCCAGAGTTAGTTTTGGCTGCAGTGCAACCTTTTCTAAAATGGTATTCCCACGCTCTTTCTTTGACCTGGATGTGTTATCTCCTCATAAGTATATTTGGCGGTCAGCATTTAACCAATTACACGGAGTGAACGGGACCCTCGTCAAACCTAAAATGCGAGTGGAGAATGGAGTCGCTGAACGGTTCCCGTCTGGAGCACTTACTAGCAGTAAGAAACGAGAATTACAGCACGAGTGTCAAAGTTTGCACCATGTTTGTGCAGCCACTATTTCTTTGTAGAAACGACAAGCCCAGAGGTTTGTAGGGAGAATGTGAAGGATTAAGAACTCTTAGCCCCAGGATCCTAACCAACATAATTCGTCTCTTTTGTAAGATTGTTTTGAGGATCAAGTTATTTGGCTAACGTAAAGATGCTTGTTTTGTTGGTTATAAAGGAATTTACTTTTTTAGGAGGGTTTCCGTGACCTGGAAGAAAATTCAGAGTTCTGTTGGGAGGCTAAACTAAATGACGTGTGCATTGTTCTGGGTCGTAATAAGTGTCCATTAGGTGATTAATTTATCAACATTGGGTAAGAAAGCAAAGTAAACTGTTTATGGTAATCTTCGATCTCCTTTTCTTTTTCTATCTCTTCACTTATTTACCTTCCAAATATTTGATGAGCACCCTCCATGTACAAAACCCCATGTTCCTGTGTTTGCAGTGTTAAAAAGAGTTGACTCTGCCTTCAAGGAGCTTATAGTCTTCTGGGTCATTGGACAACAGGCAAGCACAGAGATATATAATTACAGATTATGATAAACTCTAATGAAGTGCAAGATTGCTCAGTAAGGAAGAGTAAGGAGGGATATCTTCAGTTGGGTGCTCAGAGGACCTCTCCTTTTCCTTATTTAGGTTCACATTCAGATGCAAAACCTGGGGAAGCTTTTGGGAGGACTTTCCCAAGCTTGTGCTCATTAATCCATAAACCAATATAAAAAGCTGTGCTATTCCAAGTAGATGTTTTCTTGTCCTGTCCATTTGCTCTGAGCTTTTGCACAAGCATTTAATTCTGATTGGTTTTCATCAGCTCATTAAAAGCAGTTTTAATAAATATTTAGCTATAATGTAGCTTCCTCTGCCTCTTACAGTTTTAAGTATAAGACTTCTTGACCTTGTACTTCTTGTATTTTTCATTGTTCATTTTCCTGGTTCCCTAACAACCATGTCATTACCCTCTTAAATCTTCTTATGAGTCCCAAATTCAGTCACTAAGTTTCATTTTATAACTTTTACCATCAATTTCTTTGCCTCTTTTAAATTGTGGGGCAGTCTCATTTGTCCATTGGTAGAATAAGCAGGTATTTTGCTATTGGAGAATCTGACCAAAACTTCAAGAAATGTTTTACTGAGGAAAGATTAGGTTGATTGTTCATCTTTCTAATAAAGAAATAATAATTGGCTTTTCTTAGCAAATCCTTGAACCAGCTGTGTGCCAAGATTTTGTCAGAAACATCTAATCCGTCTTCATTCCTGTGTGTTATACCAGAAAGCTGTTTGATTCAGTGCCATCCGACAAAGGAGTGGTGAGAGTGCATGGTTCTCTAGCTCTCCTTAAAGGACTGTAGTGATGACAATTTCCTATTTATATCTCATGAGTTTGTAGGAGTCCTGCATGATAGTTTCCCTTTTTTCCTAACCAGTTGGATAATGATAGATGTTTTATTGGGAAGTTTGTCTAAGTAAAGCACCCATTCTCAAAAGGACACGGCCGATAGCTGTCTTCATATGTTGAATATATTCCAGAAGAGAGAAGCCTATTCTGTAGCCTTCCAGATGGCCAAATTTGAACCAAAAGGTTAAAGTTACAGAGAGATTTCAGCTGAATATAAGAAAGTTGTCCAATAGAAGCATGCACTAGGATTTTGTAAACTCTCTTTCACTCGGGTTACTTACAAGAGGACTCCGTGGCCATTGGCTTGCAGTGTCCTCTCATGACTTGTTGAGATGGGAATAGGTTTAATCTCTTCTAGTCGTTTAGTATTAAAATGTTAATTGCATCAAGACTGCCTTATGTCCCTTTCTGGAAAGGCAGTGATGTGTAATGAAAAGAACATTGGACTAAGAAAAAGATCAACTAATTTTAGCGTCAGTTCTGTTGTTTCTTTTGCTCTGTGGTGTTAGGCAAATTACCTCTAGCTTTTAATTTACAATATGGGGTTGTTACTATCTGTTATCTTTTTTACCTCTCAAGATTGCTATAGGGATCATTACAAAAATATCTTTGACAAATAGTGACACAAATATGAACTGAGCCTAAAGCATATGGTAATTTATGTAGACTTGCAGTTGCTCAAAGCAATTAATTAAAAAGAAATGTATACTTCTTGGAGAATATTGAAAATAGAGAAATGTATAAAGTCCAAAATTCAAAGTACCTTTTCCCAGTCCTATTCTTCTTCAAATGTAGTCACTATTACATTTTTTTTTTTTTTTTTGTTAACATGCTCGCTTCTGCAGCACATATACTAAAATTGGAACAATTTTTTTTCGTTAACAACTTGTGTATGTTTTTAGGTGTCTTTGCACAATATAGTATATATGTAATAAAGTACATTTTTTTCTTTCTCATTCAATTAAAGTAGGTATGTCAGAATACAAAGATTAAGTTATTCTTTTTAATGGCTGTCTAATATAAATGTAGAGTACCTTACTTTCCTGGTAGTAATACTTAGATTGTTTTCAGTTTTCCACTATAGCAAAGCTGCAGTAAAATTCGTGGATTCACATATTTGTTCCACATCTATTACCTGGCACCAAACATTGTGCTAGATGCTAGAGATATAGAGTTGAGCATAATATAATTTGGTGGGTGAGATGAAAGTAGTAATCACATAATTTTTCAGGTTCGTTAATAGGAATCACAGTAAGGATGATGAAGGAAGAGTCTAAGGAAAGCTGAGGGTATCAAGCAGGAAGTTTTTTTTTTTTTTTTAAGATTTTTAATTTTTTTCATTTGAGAGAGAGAGAGAAAGCACAAGCAGAGGGAGCAGCAGGCAGAGAGAGAGGGAGAAGCAGACTTCCTGCTGAGCAGGGAGCCTGATGTGATGTGGGGCTCAATCTCAGGACCCTGAGATCATGAACTGAGCTGAAGGCAGAGGTTCAACCGGCTGAGCTACCCAGGTACCCCTAGCAGAAAGTCTTGATTGAGTTTAAAGGATTAAAGAAGGCTTCCCTGAGATCTAAGGAATAGAGAGCATTTAACTAAATGAAATGGGAAGATCACATCTTCTCGTTAAAGCAGGAGTCAGTTTCATGATTCAGTTACTTTGGAAATAGTACATTCTGGGTCTTGATGTAGGGTTCATAGTGTGCTTTGGCACAGTGGCTACAGCACTGAGCAGTTTCGCAGTTTAAAAAAAGTTATTTAACCAAAATTTGCTTGATTATGGAACCCTTTGGTTTACATAATGCCTACTGAATTTGAACTAATTTTTGGAGGAACGTACTCATTTGGGGAAACTCTGGTGTTTACCTTCAAATGGAAAAAGAAAATGAAAATCTGAGGCTATACTTTCTAAATTGTTTTGGAGGGGCGCCTGGGTGGCTCAGTGGGTTAAAGCCTCTGCCTTCGGCTCAGGTCATGATCCCAGGGTCCTGGGATCGAGCCCCGCATCGGGCTCTCTGCTCAGCGGGGAGCCTGCTTCCCCCTCTGTCTCTGCCTGCCTCTCTGCCTACTTGTGATCTCTGTCAAATAAATAAATAAAATCTTAAAATAAATAAATAAATAAATTGTTTTGGAAGTAAAGTTTTGTTATCAAAAACAGACATATGGATCAGTGGAACATTAAATAGAGTGCCCAGAAATAGATCCTCAACTCTATGGTCAACTAATCTTTGACAAAGCAGGAAAGAATGTCCAATGGAAAAAAGACCGTCTAGTCAACAAATGGTGTTGGGAAAATTGGACAGCCACATGCAGAAGAATGAAATTGGACCATTTCCTTACACCACACACAAATATAGCCTCCAAACTGATGAAAGACCTCAATGTGAGAAAGGAATCCATCAAAATCCTTGAGGAGAACACAGGCAGCAACTTCTTGGACCTCAGTCACAGCAACTTCTTCCTAGAACCATTGCCAAAGGCAAGAGAAACAAGGGCAAAAATGAACAATTGGGACTTCATCAAGATCAAAAGTTTTTGCACAGCAAAGGAAACAACAAAACCAAAAGACAACTGACAGAATGGGAGAAGATATTTGCAAACGACGTATCAGATAAAGGGCTAGTATCCAAAATCTATAAAAAACTTATCAAACTTAACACCCAAAGAACAAATAATCCAATCAAGAAATGGGCAGAATACATGAACAGACATTTCTGCAAAGAAGACCTCCAGATGGCCAACAGACACATGAAAAAGTGCTCCACATCACTTAGCATCAGGGAAATAAAAATCAAAACCACAATGAGATACCACCTCACACCCGTCAGAATGGCTAAAATTAACAAGTCAGGAAATGACAGATGCTGGCAAGAATGCAGAGAAAGGGGTACCCTCTTACACTGTTGGTGGGAATGCAAGCTGGTGCAACCACTCTGGAAAACAGCATGGAGGTTCCTCAAAACGTTGAAAATAGAGCTACCCTATGACCCAGCAATTGCATTACTGGGTATTTACCCTAAAGATACAAATGTAGTGATCTGAAGGGGCACGTGCACCCAAATGTTTAAAGCAGCAATGTCCACAATAGCCAAATTATGGAAAGAACCTAGATGTCCATCAACAGATGAATGGATAAAGAAGATGTGGTTTTATATATATATATATAGTGGAATACTATGCAGCCATCAAAAGAAATGAAATCTTGCCATTTGCAACAACATGGATGGAACTAGAGGGTATTATGCTGAGTG